GGGGGGGGGGTATTGATTGTTCTTGATTTGATTTTTTTTTTAATTGTTTTTCTTTTTTTATCGTTTGCTTTTTAATTTTCATAAAAAATATAGAGTAATGCTCATTTCGCAACACCGCATTCGGATAATGTTTATACATTTTAAAATGCGTATTTTTTTTTTTTTAATTTTTAAAAATAAAAAGAAAATTTGTTTTCACTTTAATGTCCACAATGAGGAAAGAAAATTTTCAAAATATCAGCAGAATTTGGTAAAAGTGCAGTTCAGGTGCGTATATTATTTCTGTTTGAATCTCTTATTTTCCCGTGTAAACTTATGTCAATTCTTTATAAAAAGTATTTTAAAAGTTATGTACCATCTTTTTATTGGAATACAACAACAATTTAACAAATTTTACGAGATAAAAAAAGTACATTTTTATGAATCTTTCGTGTTTTACGGAGCCGTTGTGGTAAATCAAGGATAACTCTTCTGTCTTTGAAGATACTTTATAAAAGTTGCCCAATTGGATGAATCTTGTTAAAATAAAAGATGCATTTATTTTATAACTTTACTATCAACGATAACCGGAGTCGCCCGGGGCTGCATTCAGACAAAAACATCTGCTACGTCCTTTTAGTTCACATAGCTATTAAAGGAAATGTCAACAACAAAACAACAACACTAAAGTAAAAATAATAATAATTAATTTGTCTCCAATTAAAAACAATTAAAATAACTCATGTAAACCTTTCGTTTTTCCCGTTTTCCGATGGCACCCGGAAGGATCATGATGGGATCCCGAACCCGATGTGATTCCGATAGAATCCTGGTCATGGTGGGATCCCGATCCCGGTGAGATCCGTTTTCGGTGGTATCCCAAACTAAATGAGATCCCAGTCCGGTGGGATCCCGTTTCGGTGAGATTCCGATCCCGATAGGATTTTGATCCTAGTGAGATCCTGATCCCGGTGGGATCCCGATCCAGTGGGTTACCGATCCTGGCGCGATACCGGTTACGGTGAGATCCTGTTTCCGGTGATATGCAGATCCCGGTAATTATGGGGAGCTCACACACTTGACATACGAACCCAGCTTACAAGCCACATTGCAATTGTTACGAGCGCCTTAGGAGAAATTCCAGTTGTATTAACGTTATTTGTTGCCCCACAAGGTGCGCGTATAAACCAAATGCTGCTCCATTACAAATGCCTGTTGCATCAACAATTTTAATTATTGTTCCTTGGTCGTCCTGCAATTTTAAACAAAATGATCCTACAACCAGCAATACCGCAAAGCCAAAACGAGTCCGCCAAGCCAAAACGAGTCCGCCAAGCCAAAACGAGTCCGCCAAGCCAAAACGAGTCCGCCAAGCCAAAACGAGTCCGCCAAGCCAAAACGAGTCCGCCAAGCCAAAACGAGTCCGCCAAGCCAAAACGAGTCCG